TTTTTCTTACTTATAACGTCATTTGATGATGTTTCACTTTTTCATCGACTTTCTAATTTATTCGACTTTCAAAGTCTATTTTTCTGTAAACATGTTTTCTTTTTTAAATTTTAATTTTTTTTTACTTACAACGTCATTTGATGATGTTTCACTTTTTCATCGACTTTCTAATTTATTCGACTTTCAAAGTCTATTTATGTGTAAACATGTTGTTTTTCTTAAATTTTAAGTTTTTTCTTACTTACAACGTCATTTGATGATGTTTCACTTTTTCATCGACTTTCTAATTTATTCGACTTTCAAAGTCTATTTATGTTTAAACATGTTGTTTTTCATAAATATTAAGTTTTTTCTTACTTACGACGTCATTTGATGATGTTTCACTTTTTCATCGACTTTCTTATTTATTCGACTTTCAAAGTCTATATATGTGTAAACATGTTGTTATTCTTAGATTTTAAATTTTTTCTTACTTAGAACGTAGATAAATGATGTTTCAATTTTTCGTCGACTTTCTAATTTTTTCGACTTTCAAAGAGAATTTATATGAAAACATGTTTTGTTTTCATAAATTTTAAGTTTTTTCTTACTTACAACGTCATTTGATGATGTTTCACTTTTTTATCGACTTTCTAATTTATTCGACTTTCAAAGTCTATTTATGTGTAAACATGTTGTTTTTCATAAATTTTAAGTTTTTTCTTACTTACAACGTCATTTGATGATGTTTCACTTTTTCGTCGACTTTCTAATTTTTTCGACTTCCAAAGTCTATTTATGTGTAAACATGTTGTTTTTCATAAATTTTAAGTTTTTTCTTACTTACAACGTCATTTGATGATGTTTCACTTTTTCGTCGACTTTCTAATTTTTTCGACTTCCAAAGTCTATTTATGTGTAAACATGTTGTTTTTCATAAATTTTAAGTTTTTTCTTACTTACAACGTCATTTGATGATGTTTCACTTTTTCGTCGACTTTCTAATTTTTTCGACTTCCAAAGTCTATTTATGTGTAAACATGTTGTTTTTCATAAATTTTAAGTTTTTTCTTACTTACAACGTCATTTGATGATGTTTCACTTTTTCGTCGACTTTCTAATTTTTTCGACTTCCAAAGTCTATTTATGTGTAAACATGTTGTTTTTCATAAATTTTAAGTTTTTTCTTACTTACAACGTCATTTGATGATGTTTCACTTTTTCGTCGACTTTCTAATTTTTTCGACTTCCAAAGTCTATTTATGTGTAAACATGTTGTTTTTCATAAATTTTAAGTTTTTTCTTACTTACAACGTCATTTGATGATGTTTCACTTTTTCGTCGACTTTCTAATTTTTTCGACTTCCAAAGTCTATTTATGTGTAAACATGTTGTTTTTCATAAATTTTAAGTTTTTTCTTACTTACAACGTCATTTGATGATGTTTCACTTTTTCGTCGACTTTCTAATTTTTTCGACTTCCAAAGTCTATTTATGTGTAAACATGTTGTTTTTCATAAATTTTAAGTTTTTTCTTACTTACAACGTCATTTGATGATGTTTCACTTTTTCGTCGACTTTCTAATTTTTTCGACTTCCAAAGTCTATTTATGTGTAAACATGTTGTTTTTCATAAATTTTAAGTTTTTTCTTACTTACAACGTCATTTGATGATGTTTCACTTTTTCGTCGACTTTCTAATTTTTTCGACTTCCAAAGTCTATTTATGTGTAAAGATGTTGTTTTTTTACAAATTTTAAGTTTGTTCTTACTTACAACGTCATTTGATGATGTTTCACTTTTTCGTCGACTTTCTAATTTTTTCGACTTCCAAAGTCTATTTATGTGTAAACATGTTGTTTTTCATAAATTTTAAGTTTTTTCTTACTTACAACGTCATTTGATGATGTTTCACTTTTTCGTCGACTTTCTAATTTTTTCGACTTCCAAAGTCTATTTATGTGTAAACATGTTGTTTTTCATAAATTTTAAGTTTTTTCATACTTAAAACGTCTTTGATGATGTTTCACTTTTTTGTCGACTTCAAAATTTTTTCGTCTTCCAAAGTCTATTTATGTGTAAACATGTTGTTTTTCATAAATTTTAAGTGTTTTTTATTTATATCTTTGTTTAATGATGTTTACACTTTTTAGTCGACTTTCTAATTTTTTCGACTTCCAAAGTCTATTTATGTGTAACATGTTGTTTTTCATAAATTTTAAGTTTTTTCTTACTTACAACGTCATTTGATGATGTTTCACTTTTTCGTCGACTTTCTAATTTTTTCGACTTCCAAAGTCTATTTATGTGTAAACATGTTGTTTTGCATAAATTTTAGGTTTTTTCATTCTTCCAACGTCATTTGATGATGTTTCACTTTTTCGTCGACTTCAAAATTTTTTCGACTTCCAAAGTCTATTTATGTGTAAACATGTTGTTTTTCATAAATTTTAAGTT